CCCCCAAACCACCTAACCCACCCAAATTCCTACATAACAAAAAGATTCCCATGTCCTGCCAATTTCGCTATTGGCATGCTAGAATATACACTTTTACGTACCACATTTATGTATGTAAATGATATCTTATGCCATTGTTAACTGAATTTTCTGACCATGATCACTTAAAGTGGAGTTTTTATTTTCGTTTTTATTGATTCTCCTTGTGAAATTTAGTTTACAATATCATAAGATATATTTGATATAGGCCTATATGATATATATTATAGTGAGAGAGATATATATATATAATGTATACATATAGAGAGAGAAAGAGAGAGAGAGGTATATATATTTTATATAGGCCTATATAATTATATATTATAGAGAGAGATACATAGATAGATAGATAGATATATAGAGAGAGAAAGAGAGATATATATATATAGAGAGAGAGAGAGAGAGAAAGAGATATATATTTAGATAAAGAGAGAGAGAGATTCTATATATATACAATTTCCCGCCAGCGTTCGCCCATGGGACCAGATGACGGACTGCGTCCAGTACGAGAAGGACTTTGTGATCCAGACCCAGACAGTGCACACCGTGCCCCTCCTGTGGCAGTCCTCCCAGCTGGTGCCACCGCCGCGCATCAAACAGTACAGCCACGGGAACGTGTCGGAGGACAGCTACTCCTCTGGTGAGTTCACACGGGGAAATAAGATAATATGAAACAAGATAAAAATCTAACTACATACGATAAAGCAAGATTTATAAAGCGAGAACAGTACTGCCTCAGACACGTCTCAGACGACAGGTTCTCCTCCAGTAAGTTCACACGAATAAACTAAGATGAAATAAGATAAAATGAAACGACTTGAGATAAAACAAGATAAGATCAAACAGTACAGCCGCGGGAATGTGTCAGATGACAGCTACTCCTCTGGTGAGTTCACACGGGGAAATAAGATAAACTAAAACGACATAAGATAAAGCAAGATGAGATAAAACAAGAGAAGATCAAACAGTACAGCCGCGGGAACGTGTCAGACGACAGCTACTCCTCTGGTAAGTTGACACGGTTAAAGAAGATGACATGAAACAAGATGAGATAAAACAAGATAAGATCAAACAGTACAGCCACGGGAACATGTCAGACAACAGCTACTCCTCTTGTAAGTTGACACGGTTAAAGAAGATAACATGAAACAAGATGAGATAAAACAAGATAAGATCAAACAGTACAGCCACGGGAAGGTGTCGGAAGACAGCTACTCCTCTGGTAAGTTCACACGAATAAACTGAGATGAAATGAAACAAGATAAAAAGATAAGATCAAACAGTACTGCCTCAGACACGTCTCGGAAAACATCTACACCTCCGTTAAGTTCACACAAATAAACTAAGATGAAATGAAACGAGATAAGATAAAACAAGACGAGATCAAACAAGATTAGATAAAGCAAGATATATGTGCTGTTGAGGCTAGAGAAGTGAGCAGAGTAAGTCTGATTCCCTGTTTGGTTGGCACTCATATGACCTTATGCAGTTACGAGCTCCGTGTACCCTTACTGAAACTAAAGCTAAGGATAGGTATAACTGTGCTTCCAGTGTTGTTCATTCAAAGATCAGTTATCTATACAAATTTTTTTTTTATTTTAATAAAAATTTTGAAAAAAATTGTTTTTATTTTTCTCAGAAAACTCTGACGATAACACCACCCGGGAGAGAAACACCAACAGAATGTCGAGCATATCCGACTCGGTCACGGCAAAAAGCAGCGCTCACCCAGCTCAAAGTCACCTTCAGCGCAAGGGAAGCTTCGACTCCACCAAGGGAGGCAGCCCGCAGAAACGCCTGGCGCACTCGGAGGCAGAGAACCGCAAGTCGGCCACACCCGATAGTCTCCGGAGACAATACACCATTCCAGGTGCAGCTGGGGTTTTGACCGAGTCAACCAGCGCGGGCCGGAGACCCCACAAAGACCGCAACAGCCCGTCCAAACCGCCAGTCAGCATCGAGAACGGAACGACGACCGCTACAAACAGCGCACGTAGTTTCCAGGTGCTCCCGCTGAAAGCCTCGGCCGCGTCCCAGCTGGCTCAGGAAGCGGCCGGGCGCGTAGACGCGAATCTCCGCTGCGTCGCTCAACAACAACAGCAACATCATCAGACAACGGTGTCCCGCAGACACTCGCCTCCGTCCATGTCGGGAGAACTAGGGGAAAACAGACATGGGGTGGCGTTGTCTTCGTCTGCTGCGGTGGCATCGTCGTACGACCTTCAGATGCTGACCAAACTGGCGCAGAGGCAGCAGGAGATGCAGGCATCCCTCACGGAACTGGTGGGCCGCGTGGCCAACTTGCAGCAGTTGCAGCAGACGGCGTCTCGGCGGCCGGCCGGGCTGGGGGCGGACGGTTCATCGTCGTCGTCAGACACGTCTGTGGTGTCCAGGGAGTGGCTGTTGGTCGCCATGGTACTGGTGTTTCAGACGCTGCTGCAATGGTACTTCTCCCGATGAGGGGGCAGCGGTGGTGGTGGTGCTGCGTGCGTGCAATAGCTGGAGTGGCAGTTCACGCTAACTACTCTAGAACTGTGGCGGTGATTCACATCTTGTAGAACTGCAGTGATTCTCTACTGTTAAACTACCAAAGTGCACTACTGTAAAATTGCGGTAGTCAACTTCTTTTAACCCTTTCCGTCACATCTCACCGATCGGCGATGTTTACCACCCATTTTTTTTTTTTATCCCCAAAATGCCTTTGCCTTTGATGGCAAGGGTTTTTACTACATGAGACTTGTGGTGGCAAAGTGGTTAACCGCAGCTCTACTGCAGAAATGCGGTAATGCAGCACTATGGTACTGCAAAATTGGGGTAATGCACTACAGCAGAACTGCGTATACTGTAAAACTGCGGTAATACTCAGGATATATATGCCCTGCAACACACTCAGCTACAAAGAAGTACCATTTTTTTTTGTACTGCAACACCCCCTCCCCCACCCCCACCCCCTGTGTACCTTCGTTTGTGTGGGTGGGTGGCACAGTGACAAATGTACCAAGGCTACTACAGTGGACGTATTTACTGGTTGAAGAGCGTTTGTTATGCGGAGGTTTTACAGTATTTCACCCACATCCTCTTTTCTTTTTTTTTTTCTTTTTTTTTTTCTTTTTTTTTTTTTTTATAATGGTCACGTGATTCGGGACCGTCTTCGTACATGACTGTCGAATTCTGTTCCCCGTCCAGTGTTCTTGTGTACTGATCATGAAGGACAGAGTTTGTCACCATCACAGCTTTATGCCGTCACTGTTTCTGGGATTTGTGTGGCCTGTTCCTGGGATTTGTGTGGCCTGTTCCTGGGCTTAGCCTCTGCAAAGTTTTTGTATCATGTAGTAGAAGGTATAGGAAGGAAAATGGGGGAGAGGGAGGGGGACTAAAAGGCACAGCAAAGAGGATGGGTT